CGCAGGGTTTGCCCCGGGCAGAGGCGAGGGGAGCGGGCCCCGGGACCGTCATGCAGGTCCCCCCTGGAACGGGGGCCGGTGGGTTTCAGGCTGGGAATGTGTGTTCAGTTCCCAAACCTGAACTGGTGGGACCTTGTCCTTCAAGCAAAGCGAAGGAGAGATTAGGAAACCGTCCCAGGCCAGACGAGGGTCTGCAGGGCAGAGGAGGGAGGGCACGGGTGCGGGCCCCTCCAGGTGTGGGGACGGCCTGGGGCTGGCACACAGGCGCGAGCCCTCGGCCGGCGAGGCCCGCGCTCTCTGCCGGGTGAGGTGGGCCCCCGTGAGCCTGCGTCTGTCCTGCAGGTGGTGTGCAAGTACATTGAAAGTCCTGTCTTGTTCCTTCGAGAAGACGTGGGGAGGGTCAAGTTCGACGTCCGCTACATCGTGCTTCTGCGCTCGGTGAAGCCCCTGAGGCTGTTCGTGTACGACGTGTTCTGGCTGCGCTTCTCCAACCGGTAACGGAGCCAGGGTGGGCGGGGCCGGGGCGGGGCCGGGGTGGGGGGCGGGGGGGGCGGCTCTCTTCTCTGTAGGGACGGGAAGTCCTTCACCGCGAGCCGCGTGGGCCACCGTAAGGGACGTCGGCTTCCTTTGTAGAACAGGCACCCCACACCTGTGGGTCGCGATGTCGTTTACGGGCTTCTGGGGGGGTCCCCATGGGCCATGGGGGCCACGGAGAACGGGTGCCCTGCCGGCGGGACCCACTCAGGTCTGCCTGCTGGTCCTGCAGGCCTTTCGCCCTCAACGACCTGGACGACTACGAGAAACATTTCACTGTCATGAACTACGACCCGGAAGTGGTGCTGAAAGCAGGGTAGGGCCCGGGCGGGCCCGGGGAAGCCAGCCAGGCTGTTTAGGACAGGAAGGTTCTCTCTGGCCCCCGGTTATTTTCAGCAGCCCCCCCCCTGCGGCTTTAAGGATGAATGGGGAGGACCGAAGGGCTGCCCCCGGGCCCCCCAGAAAGCCCCCACCTGCTTTCCATTCAAGACCCTTTGAGCAACTGGGACGGGTTGGGGGAGGGGGAGGCAGACCAGGTGGCAGGGCCACCAGGGCACAGGGTTCCCACCGCGGGGCAAGGGGGAAGGGGGGGGGCTGCCTGGCCCTGTGACCCTGCCCTGGGTTCCCTCCTGAACGCCCCCGCACCTCTTCCGGGTTGCCTTGGAGCCCAAGGGGGCATCCAGGGCAAAAGCTCCTTTCCACGGGTTAGTTGCCCGCAAGCCCCCAGGTCGGGCCCAGCACCGCCACCCGGGGCCAGGTAGGGCACAGCCTGGGCGGGGAGGCTGGGCGGCTCTGGGGAAGCAGGGTGGCACCGGGGCAGGTTAGGGCACAGCCTGGCGGGAGCAGGCGGCTCTGGGAAGCAGGGTGGCACCGGGGCAGGTAGGCACAGCCTGGCGGGAGCTGACGGCTCTGAGAAGCAGGGTGGCACCGGGGCAGGTAGGCACAGCCTGGCGGGAGCAGGCGGCTCTGGGCGGAGGAAGGAGGAAAGGAGCCGTTCAGCCTCGGTGCATTAGCCCACAAGTCCTCTCGCCTGCGGTGGTTAATGCTGTTTCTGGCAACAGGAGCGCCCACCCCCACCCCCACACAGGCCTGCGGTGGCCTCCTCCCTCCACCAGGGGGCCACGCCGAAATGTGGAGGCACATTTTTTTTTTTAAACATATTTTTATTGATTTCAGAGAAGGGAAAGGGAGAGGGAGAGGGAGACAGAAACATCAATGATGAGAGAGAATCATTGCTCAGCTGCCTCCTGCACGGCCCCCACTGGAGCCTGGAGCCTGCTGCCCCGGGCCAGGCCTGAGGTCCCCCAGGGCAGGTGCCGCGCGCACCCCAGCAGGGCTGTTGCCTCTTGTCCCTCTTCCCGTCCGGGGCTCCGCCCTCTGGTCCCTGGGAGCCTGAGCCCTCACCGGTCCCACGACGCTGTGGGACATTGTCGCTGGGGGAACTGTCTTCCCTCTGCATCGAGAACGTGTCATCCTGGGGCCCGTTTCTTCTGGCGCCCCGTGTGTGGGGACACGTGTCCAGGAGGGCATGAGCGCCAGGCTCCTGTGGGCAGCCCATCGGTCGTTTCTGGGAGAAACCTGAGCTGACTTGTCAGGTGTGTTTGGGGTAGAGTCTCAGCCTGAGAAGCTGCTGCCCCCGGGCCCTGGAGCTGGTGAGCATGAACCAGGCCAGGCCCTGCAGACACGGGTCCCAGCGCACGGACACGGGTGGTGGCGCGTCCGTTGCGACCTCACAGCCTGCGGAACCCTCCGCGTGCACCGAGCCTGTGAGGCCCACAGCAGCCCTGCAGATGCGCTTGCTGGGCAGGGAGCATCGCCCCATTTCACAGATGCAGACACTGAGGCTGCGAGAAGTAAATCTGCGTGTCCAGAGCTCAGACCCCGGCTCCTGCCTCCCCTTTGTGCCCCGAGGGGAGGGGGGAAGCTGCTGGCGCTGACTTGTGACCCCAGCGAGTGTCCGAGGCCCACGTGGAGGCAGGGCAGAGGGTGACGGGCCCTGTGTCTGTCGCAGGTGCACTACGACGAGTTCATCCCTGAGTTTGAGAAGCAGTACCCAGAATTCCCCTGGAGGAGTGTCCAGGTGAGTCCTGAGCGAAGCTGGAGGGGCCAGGGCCTCTGTGGTGGGCCACGTGGGGGTCTGCCTCCTCAGATGTCCTGTCCTCCCACCAAGGTCAGGGAAGGGACAGTGAGGTGTGGAGGGCGACCTGGAGGGGCCTCAGGGCACCTGGGGACAGCCAGGCGGCCACAGTCCTGCCTGTCCCAGGAATCGCAAACCTGAGGGCAGCAAGGACTCCGCTGGAGGTGCACGCTGCCCTCCACGTCCCGGGTGAGCGTGGCAGGTGCCCTGCACCCTGCACACCGTGGTATAGAGGGGAGCCAGGGGCTCGAGGCAGGAGACAGGCAGGTGGTGCCAGGACTGAGGGGCAGGTGTGGGGCAGAGGCGGCTACGGCCAGGCCTGGAGAAACAGGGTGGAGGAGGAGGTGACTCGGCCTTTCGGGGGCTGGGGCTTGGGAAGGGGCAGCAAACCCCACGTGGAGGGGCCGCTCCGGGCAGCCCTGACCCCGCCTCCCGGTCCCCAGGCGGAGATCTTCCGAGCCTTCACGGAGCTGTTCCAGGCGGCGTGTGCTAAGCCGCCACCCCAGGGCCTCTGCGACTACCCCTCGTCCCGGGCCGTGTACGCCATCGACCTCATGCTGAAGTGGGACAGCCGTCCAGACGGTGAGGGTCCCCATCGCCCAACCCCTCACGCACCCCAAACCGATGGCCAGAGGGGGCGTCGCTGGCCAGGCTGCTGGGTGGTCCTTTGCCAGGAGATCTGGGCCTGAGGAGGCCCATCGTTAAGGGGTGACAGCCTGCAGGACAGAAAGCCAACGGGAACGGGGGAGGGGCCACCCCACTTCCTGGAGGCGCAGGAGAGTCTGGGCCGGGCCCTCGGTCCTTCGTGGAGGAGGCCCCAGGCCAGGCCCAGGAGCCGGAGCCCCGTGCGCCTCCCAGGAGTGAGGTGCCTGCGCTTTGTGCCCTCAGGGCAGCGAGTGATGCAGCCCCAGATCCTGGAGGTGAACTTCAACCCGGACTGCGAGCGCGCCTGCCGGTACCACCCCTCCTTCTTCAACGACGTCTTCAGCACCTTGTTCCTGGACGAGCCCAGCGGCTGCCACGTCACCCGCCTGGTGTAGGCGCCCGGCCTCCTGCGCGGGCTCCTGGCGACCGGCCTCGGCTCTGAGCGGCTGCTGCAGAGCCCCCCTCCCCCCGCTGGGCCCAGGCCGCCAGGTCCCGCTCCCCACCCTGGCGCAGGTCCTCCCTGAGCCCGAGAGCCGGCCCATCACACTGTCCCGGGCCGAGTGCCAGGCGCGGTGTACACCCCCCACCACCTGTGCGGTGTTGCTCAGCTCAGCCCCAGCTTCATCGCCGAGTTCGGTTCCTGGCGGCCATGTTTCCGGGGCGTTAGCGAAAGAGGGGTTCTGGGGAGTGTGGTGAGGTGTCCCCAGAAACAAGTTCCCCCAGGAACGCCTGTGGGAGCCCAAACGTCAGCAGGGCCGGCGGCTCTTGTCCAGTCTGTTCAGGTGTCGTGGCTCCCCCAGAGCGGGCTCAGGCTCCCACCCCTCCCCCAGGCCCCGTGTGGCAGGCGTCCCCAGAACATCTTGGGGGCCCTGCTTGCCAGACCCAGCCCTCTCGCACCCCATTCTCCCCCACCCCCCCCTCCCCAGAACTGTCACCAGCAAACCTGTGGCCCCAGGGCAGCTGCTGATGCCTCACCATCTAGCAGGGGCAGCCGCCCTGCTCCCCGTGGCCCTGGCCTCCCTGGCACTGCAGTGGGCGCCCTCTCTGAGGGTGGGTGGCGCTTGGGCGAGGGGACTTGGGGCGAGGGGAGCAGCGAGGGCAGCAGCGCAGCAGGCAGTGGGCGGCTTCGAGGGATGATTCCACCAAGAACTTCGCATCAGATGCATCCTCCACCAGAGTCCAGGGTCAAAACGTCGGATTATTGTTACTCTTTCGTTTATGGGAAGAAAATACAAAATTCTCGTTCTTAATGTCGTTTCTGAAACTTGGAGTCAGATGCCAGCTGTAGCCACAATGCGCCTGCCCCAGCTAACGGGACAGTGGCAGGGGCCTGCTTTGGTGTGTGTGGGTGGGTGGGTGTATGTGTGTGTGTGTCTGTGTTAGCCAAGAGAAGTCCTTGTAGTGAAACTGCACCGGACCGTGCCTCCCACCTCTGGGTCTGCCTGTCCATCCTCCGCTGACCAGGGCCTCGGCCCTTCCCTGCAGCCGAGTGGAGGCATCGCCGGCGGGACAGCGCCGGTTTCCTCCCCGGGAGAGCTGCTGGCGCCTCCCCTCCTCGGCTGGGTTTGTACCACAACAGAGTATTGGCCTCCCTGTGTCTGTGGGTCCAGGGGCCACAGGCCGGGCACACTCTGCCAGCGGCTTTCCTCCTGGTTCAACCGGACAATCTGGATGTGAGACCCGGGAGGAGAAGTCAGGGGTGCTCAGGGCCCAAGTTTCCGTCTTAGACGGTCCGCTGCCACGACAAAATGCCGTAAACTGGCAGCTTAAACAACAGAAACTTCTCACAGTCCTGGAGGCTGGGGGGGTCCCAAGGTCAAGGGACCAGCAGATTGGTGTCTGAGGGTCCACTTCCGGTTCACAGACATCATCTTGCTGTGTCCTCGCGTGCAGAAGGGGTGAGGGGTCTGAGGGGGCTCTATTAGCGCACTGATCCCACTCCACAGGGCTCCACCCGTGACTTCATCACCCCACGTGGGGTTAGGATGTCAATACATGAATTTGGGGGACAGGCACCCCTCAGACCACAGTTCCCTAACCCGGTGCCTGTGCCTTTCAGAGCAGGAAGTGGGGACAGGTGTGGAGCCCAGGCCGCTGTGCACTTGGCGTGAGCTCTGTCTGAGCACTTACATCAGGGCCTCGGGCCCGGGACTTCCCCCGTTTCCTGTCCTGGGATAAGGGGATCATCAGGGGCCCTCGCCCGCTCAAGGGGACGCCAGAGGGTCCGGGAGCTGGTGCAAAAAGAGGTGACGCCCTACCGCTGCGCCTCTGGGCAGCCTGAGCGGACTGGTCCCGTGTCCTCCGCGGTCAGTGGCCAGGAGGGGAGCCGAGGCCTCGCCCGCGGAAGCGGCCCCTGGAAAGGGTGCAGCCCCAGGACCTGATAAATCTGCGAGGTGTGGGCTTTCCTGTTGAGCCAGCGTGGAAACGGCACCGCGGGGCCCTCGCGGCTGTAACAGCCAAAAAGGGAGAGGATGCTGCGAGGACCACCTCGCGGACAGCCAGCAGGCAGAGCAGCAAATGCCGCGTCCTCTTGCCCATCCTCCCGGCGTTCCTGTGGCTGAGCAGTGTGCCCTGTGCCCGTGGTGGAGAACTCGGAACCAAGTGACACAGTGGGTGTGCAGTCCCCCGACCCCGCTGCTCTGCGGAGCCTCGGAAACACGGCGGGAGCCGCCCAGGGCCTGGCCACGCGCTCACGGCCGCTAGGTGCCTGCTGAGCCGAGCTTGTTGGACATCGAATCGCAGCGAGTGCACAGGTGCGGCTGCAGGGCGGGCGGGCGGCTGTCTGCTCAGCTCCCTGAGCTCCTTGTAATTTGGGGTCACGTCTGACTGTGCAGCCAGGAGGAGGAAGGAGACAGACCAGAGGCAGCGAAACTCAGGCCGCTGAACCGCCGAGAGCTCTACACAGGGAAGTGTCACCGATTCTAATTAACTTATTTGACAACCACTAACAACCCAGGCAACAAAGCCAGCAGGCCGACCACGGTCCCCGGAGGCCGCGCTGCCGAGCTCCGCCCAGGACTCAGACGTCCTTCCAGCAGGAGCCCCGGGTGCGAGGCCTCTGCCGCCTCCCTTACTCCAGACAGCTGCCTGGGAGGTCGTGGGCCTCCCGTGGGGAGCCAGGGGTGACACCTCCACACCTGGGCAGGCCTGGGCCAGCGAGGAGCTGCTGTCTGCTGGGCTGGGGACCGGCCTTTTCTGCCTCTGATGCCCCCCCCATTAATTTTTTGAGGGGCTGCCCTGGGTGGGGTGGGGCTGGCAGGAGTCTGGCACCCAGGGGCGGGTCAGCTGGCGTCCGCAGCCCCGTAGCCCCGTTCTGACCGAGGCCGACGGAGGGCCCTGCCTTGGCCCAGGCAGAGCCGGGCACTGGCCCAGGCAGACTGTGGGCCACACCCTTCCAGAGGCTGAGCCCGGGCTCCTGGAGGCCTGGAGGGGGCAGGCCAGCCTGTCAGCTGAAGCCCAAGGCCCGGGCCTGGTCCCGACCAGCCAGGCAGCAGCACAGCCAGTGTGGGCTCCGGGTCACGCCTGGGCTGCTCGCCCTGGGCCACCTCACCTCTTACAGGGTCCTGGGTGGCCCCCAGAGCGTGCAGGAGCCCTGAGCAGGCCCCTCCGGCGACGCAGCTCAGACACCCAGCAGGGGATGCACTTCCCACCAAGAAGAAGGCCAGTGCGGGTTAGAGACTTTATTTGGCTGTGACCCTCCGTGCCCCGCGCCCGTGCCCCAGCCGGTGCCCCGAGCAGCACAGAAAGTGCAGGACGCGACCCTGGGTGTGGGCTCAGCCTGGAGCCGCTCCGAAGCCAGTGGTGACGCTGGGCTGAGCCCCTGACAGACTCGCAGGTGTGGTGGCCATGAAGGTGTGAGGCCACCACCCCCCACGGGCCCGCCTGGCAGCAGCCACAGTCCTCGGGTACGGGCGCCTCATTCCGCCAGCCTCCGGCCGCCGCGCCGGCCTTGGTTGTCGCGCCAGACGCAGTAGTTGAGCGCGGTCGCGAAGGCCAGCCAGGCCAGGTACGGGTAGAGCAGCCGAGCGGCCGGAGGGCTCACCCGGTGCCAGGCCACGGTGGTGGCTGCCGCCAACCCCCCCGTCAGCAGGAGGTCCACCAGGGCCTGTGGAGACACGGAGGACGGGGGCCTGAGGCTCAAGGTACCCACGAGGGTGCCCGTCCCAGCTGCCCACCCGCCTGAGCACTCACCCCACTCCACCCCTGCATGACCCGGCCAAGCCCCTCCCCAGCTCTCTGCCTGTTTCCCCATAATAAAATGGCAACAATTGCCTCTGCCTGACCCACACCGCGTGGGGTGCACGGTGCCAGGTGCACTGTGGGTTGTCTGTCCTACATGTTGGCCCCTAAACCGGAGCCAGCAGCCCGTCCGGCTCCTTCGCTGGAGGAGAAGCAGCCGTGGAGGCTCCACAGAGGGCGCCGGCCCCTGAGCTGCTGACGGGACGCTGCCGTGAGCTGCACACCACCCCTGCTCCTGCCTTCGGGCCCCGTCTGGGTGTGATGCCCGTGTCCCCGAAGGAGGCCCGCCCCTCCTCGGCCCATCTCCAGGGGCCAGGGAGGCACTTACCATACCCATCTGTCGGGAGCCAAAGAAGATGGGAGGCCACGCCCAGTTCAGGGTCAGCTGCCCCGCGTAGAGGCCCAGGGGCACCACAGCTTCCTCCGAGAAGCCCCCCAGCTCTCTCCAGACCAGGTAGGAGCCGTATCTGAAACAGAGGCCACCTGTCAGGGCAACGCCGGGGAAGAGGCCAGGAGCGCACGGACCTCCGGGAGGGCACGGTGATGTCAGGCCTGCCCCGCCGCTGACTGCTGTGTGGCCTCAGGGAAGTTGCCTGACCTCTCTGGGCCTTCACTTCTCACAGGTTAACACACCGGCAGTGCTCAGGGCAGTGCCCGGCACGTGGGGCACTCGGTAAGTATTTACCATTATTATCGTTATCGGGGCTGTGAAGAAGGAAGCCGTGAGGCTCCCAGCCCCGCCAGGGCACTGCACAGAATATAGGGGCACCTGGGCTGGGCCTTCAGGATGAGTAGGAGTTTGCCCTTGTCAGTGCCTACAGGAGCCTCACGGGGCAGGGTTCCAGGAAAGAGACGGGGCCGTGTTTGTGCCGTGTCAGGATCTGGATGGTGGAGGAAGGCCAAGGAGGACTTGGAGGCCTGGAGGCTAGAGCAAGCTGACGCAGAAGCAAGGCACCTGGGCCAGGACTGGAGAGAAGGGAGCAGGACGCAGGGAGCGCTGGGAGCCTGCCTGGGCTGGGGGGTGGGGGCCAATGACAGCCAGGTTTCAGGGACTGTCTTACTCCCACCAGAACTCTGGGGCACCCAGCCCAGCCTCTGCTACCTGCCCCGAGGGTAGCTAGGGTCTACGGCCCCACCCTGCCCGGGGCTGGCACAGAACCCGCATGCAGGGAACATTCCAGAAGATGGGCAGGAAGCTGACTTCCTCTCCTGCATGCAGTTTCTGCTGTGGCCACCAGGGGGCGCCCCACACAGCACTTCCTTTCACCACAGCAACTCCCAGGGTCTAGGCCAGGGGCTCCCGCAGGTCCCCCACCCGCCCCCGCCTCCCGCGTTCTAGCACCAAACGGATGCTCAACAAACGGCAGCTACTATTACTGCTGTTGCTGCCATTGATCTTGGAAGCCTCCACGCTGCCCACGTCTGAACTTTGCCCACTAGCCAGTCTCACCCTGGCGTTGTGAAAACAGCCAGGATGCCAGTGTGGGGTTGAGCCATCGGCCCGCCCCTCCCAAGAGGCCCCGCAGGGAAGGTTCGGTGGTGCAATCCACCCTCACTTGGCAGAGGAGGCCCAGAAACGGCGCCGCTGCCCAAGGAGCACCGACAGTTAGAGCCCTGCCCGGCCTGGGCCCCTGGCAAGGGAAGAGGCCCTGCCCGCCTGCCCGCCCGCCCCTGGGGACTGGCCCCCTCACCCCATGGCCGAGTAGAGCGTGCCCCAGATGGGGCCCAGCGTCCAGCGGGGCGGGTGCCAAGAGGGCTTCTGCAGGCTGGCATACCAGCGGAGGCCCTCTCCGCGGACGTGGTAGGAGCTCAGGAAGCCCCCCAGGCTGGGCGCCAGCGTGAAGCCCACGGCGGGCACCCAGGGCGGGGCCATCGCTGCTCTGGCTGCTCTTCTGGAAGCTCTGAAAGAGAAACCAGGGCCCAGTGAGAGGCTGGGCCTCACTGCGCATTCCCAAGAACCTACTGTGCGCAGACCCGGGGTCACCAAAAGTCCTGGGGTGCATCTGGTACC